TAAATAAAAATAAATATATAAATTAAATAGAAACAGTAAGTAAGAGCAATTGATATTGGGACTCCAAAAATACACACCATCTAAGTTGTATCATGGGATTTCCCCCTCGATTAGGGCTAACTTGATCCTCTAGACTGAAAGTCCTCACCACACTTACAGTCTGAACTTCTCTGAAAGACAAATCGTCAGTTTGGACCAATACGTCCCAATTAAGGACTTGAGTGTATCTGGTGTGCAGGTTCAGAAAAGCTTCCGATTTAGTCTTCTTCAGAAGAAATCCAGTTCAGATGCACCAACACCATGCTGGAAACTGAATCATATGTGATAAGCCAGGAGGATCAATAAATTAGATTCCAAACTGTGCTACCGCTCCAAGCTGAAACAGCCATGCTGGAGGTGATTTGTGTATGGAAAGTGGAATGATAGGGTTCTCTCATACATACTAATGATTGTTGATGACAAGCTTGGTCTGACTTCCCTTCTACCATACTTTAACTATCAATAGCAAAAGTTATTTTAGACACATCTAGAAACTTGTAATTTCTCCATTTCTATTAGTGGTAGTAGTGATAGAATCATAGAATCATAGAATGCTTTGGGTTGGAAGGGACCTTTAGAGGTCATCTAGCCCAACCCCCCTGCAGTGAGCAGGGACAGCTTTAACTACATCAGGTTGCTCAGAGCCCCATCCAGCTTGACCGTGAATATTTCTAGGGATGGGACCTCCACTACCTCTCTGGGCAACCTGTTCCAGTGTTTCACCACCCTCATTGTAAAATATTTCTTCCTTATATCCAGTGTAAATCTACCCTCCTTTAGTTTAAAACCATTACTCCTTACCCTGTCACAACAGGCCTTGCTAAAAAGATTGCCCTCATCTTTCCTATAGGCCCTCTTTAAGTACTGAAAGGCCAGAATAAGGTCTCCCTGCAGCCTTCTCTTCTCCAGGCTGAATAACCCCAACTCTCTTAGCCTGTCCTCGACAGGATTGCCCTGACCCAGGTGCAGGACCTTGCACTTGGCCTTGTTGAACCTCATGAGGTTCACACAGGCCCACCTCTCCAGCTTGTCCAGGTCCCTTTGGATGATATCTCATCCTTCTGGCGTGTCAACTGCACCACTCAGCTTGGTGTCGTCTGGAAACTTGCTGAGGGTGCACTCGATCCCACTGTCTATGTCATTGATGATGATATTAAACAGCACTGGTCCCAGTACGGACCCCTGAGGGACACTACTTGTCACTGGTCTCCATTTGGACATCGAGCCGTTGACCACTACCCTCTGGATGCAACCATCCAGCCAATTCCTTATCGACCAAACAGTCCACCCATCAAATCCGTATTTCCCCAATTTAGAGAGAACGACGTTGTGAGTCCTTTCTTCCCTTTTTAAAAATGGGCATGTTTCCCTTCTTCCAGTCCACAGGGACTTCACCTGACTGCCATGACTTTTCAAATATCATGGAGAGTGGCTTGGCAACTACATCAGCCAATTCCCTCAGGACTCAGATGCATCTCATCAGGTCCAATAGAGTTATGTATATTCAGGTTCTTTAGGTGGTCTGGAACCTGATCTTCCCTTACAGTGGGAGGGGCTTTACCCCCCTGGTCCCCATCTTGCAGTCCATTGACTCAGGAGGGGTGAGGAGAGAGGTTGCCACTGAAGACTGAGGAAAAAATGTTGTTGAGTACCTCAGCCTTCTCCTTGTCTATTGATACTAGGTCGCCATTCTTGTTCCTCAGGGGAGTATGCTTTCTTTAACCCTCCTTTTCTGGCTGCCATACCTGTAGAAGCCCTTGTTATTTTTTGCATCCCTTGCCCAATTCAGCTCCAGCTGTGCCTTGGCCTTCCTGACCCCATCCCTACAGAGCTGGGCAGCTTCCCTGTACTCTTCCCAGGATGCCTGTCCCTGCTTCCACCGCCTGTGCAGTTCCCTCTTGCTCTTTAGTTTGACCAGCAGGTCTCGACTCAGCCATGCTGGTCTCTTCCCTTCCTTGCGTGATTTCTTACACTTGAGGACTGAGAGCTCTTTCCTCTCTGGAAGGTGTCCTTCAAGATCTGCCACCTCTGTTCTGTTCCCCTGTCCCTGAGGACCATTTCCCAGGGGGTCTTGCTGACTAACTCCTTGAAGAGCTGGAACTTTGCTTTTCTAAAATTTAGGGTCCTGACTATAATCCTCGCTTTTCCCATATCTCTCAGGAGTGTGAACTCCACTAATGCGTGATCACTGCAGCCCAGGCTGCCTCCAGGCTTGACATCACCAGTGGGCTCACTTGCATTGGTGACCATCAGGTCCAGTATCGCGTCCCCTCGGGTAGGTGTGTCTATTACCTGGCTTAGGAAGTTATCGTCTATGCATTCCAGGAATCTTCTGGATTGCCTACAGCTCGCTGTGTTGCTTTTTCAGCAATTGTCAGGGTAGTTGAAGTCCCCTAGTAGGATGAGAGTCTGCAGGCACGAAGCTTCCTGGAGCTGGAGGAAGAAGGCTTCGTCAGTAGGCTCCCCTTGATCAGGCAGCCTGTAGTAGACACCAAGCACGAGGTTCCCCTTGTTTCCTCTGTCTTTGATTCTTACCCGTAAGCTTTCGACCTGCTCGTGGCTGTTCTTCAGGGATAGGTCTTCACACTGTATTGATTTCTTTATGTAGAGAGCAACACCTCCGCCTCTCCTTCCTCGCCTGTCCCTTCTGAACAGCCTGTAGCCATCAATAGCCACATTCCAGTCATGGGCTTTGTCCCACCAGGTTTCGGTTATGGCAATCAGGTCATAGCTTTCTAGCAGCACTTCATTACTAGTAGTAGTAATAATAATAGAGAAATAACAAGTTTCTAGATGTGTCTAAAATAACTTTTGCCATTGATAGTTAAAATGTGGTAGAAGGGAAGTCAGACCAGTAGTAGTGGCATCATTATTTTCCATTTACAGGAATGGCGGAAATGTGCCTTGGGTTAAATTAATGAATGCTATGACAATACTCTTTTTTTGCAAGAAAGGATTTGTAAGTGAGACAGAACCATTCATAAGATGTCTGTTTGAAGTTTTGCTTCTTGACTTGTGTTCCCAAGTCCTGTGCCTCTAAATGTTCTCTGTATTTAGAAATAATGATAAGGGAAGAAGACAACAAACAGTAAATGGCTTTACTGTCATAGTTCGTTATACTGTATGACTCAGTGGTGCAGGAGGCAGACATTATTTCTTCCATAAGGCAGTAATTTGTGGAACTGAGAGTGAGAGAAGAGAAAATTTATCCCTATTGCTGCTAAAACTAACCTTACGAATTGTACATGAAATTCTGTCTGTGTTTATCATCTTTAAATAACATTGTGCTACAGTTCCAGGCAAACCTCGGCTTGTGATTAGCCACACACAGATGAACACGGCTTTAATTCAGTGGCACCCTCCTGTGGACACTTTTGGCCCGCTGCAGGGTTATCGCCTGAAGTTTGGTCGCAAAGACATGGATGCATTTACGACCATGGAGTTCTCAGAGAAGGAAGATCACTTCACAGCCACAGACATTCACAAAGGAGCTTCTTATGTCTTCAGGCTCTCAGCTAGAAATAAAGTGGGCTTTGGGGAAGAGATGGTTAAAGAGATTTCTGTTCCTGAAGAGGTACCCAGTGGATTTCCCCAAAATCTTCACTCGGAAAGCTCTACTTCTACATCAGTTCAATTAACTTGGCAGATGCCACTCTTGGCAGAGAGAAATGGCATTATCACCAAATATACCATCTTGTACAGAGATATCAATGTTGCTTACCAGCCAGTTGAACTTTACCACTATGACACTTGCTGGCTTAAAACCAGATACCACATATGATGTAAAAGTACGTGCCCACACAAGCAAAGGGCCTGGTCCATATAGTCCAAGTGTCCAGTTCAGGACACTACCTGTGGATCAAGGTAGGATTTGTCTGCTTATGGCGTTGACCTTTAAAGGAGTATCAGTCTTTGGATATCAGTGTTTTTGAAGCTGTAAATAAAACTGACCGGCCCATTCATAAAAATAGGTTCATCAAACACAAAAGGTAAAGTATGTAAATCTTAATATGTTTTGGATGCCGTAGAATTCAGTTGTCCCTTGCCAAGCCAGTTCTGGCTAACATCTTCACAATTTTTTCAGGTAAGGAAAATGTATGTGTTGGGTTGTCACTAGATAAGAGTGAGAAGGAGTTAAAATGTGATATTTAAATATGAGCAAACAGGTAGGAGAATTGAATCCTCATTGTTTTTTGACCTAAATGGAAATCTAATACTCCCAGGTAGCAGTGGAAATATGACAAGATCTGAGCTCCAAGATGCTGTTTATGTACATTGTTTCTTTTTTTCCAGCAGTGTTTGCAAAAAATTTTCATGTTAAAGCTGTAATGAAGACTTCTGTTTTGCTGTCCTGGGAAATTCCAGAAAATTACAATTCAGCCTTGCCTTTCAAAGTAAGTTACTTTCCATTAGTATGAGAGAAAATACAGAAACTAGAGGATGTAATTCGCCTGGTTAAGTAGCTTACTGAATATGTGAAATTTTTTGGTACTGCTGTATTTAAGAATGCAAACTAATCAGCAATATTGACCCAAGCTGTTAATGCGGTTGTCTGACAATATGAGCTTTCCACTTTTGTTGCAGTATTTCAAAGTCAGGCTCATACTGGTTATTATGCATGGTATGAACACCATGCTAATTTGGAGTTTGTTGCTACTATATTTTAGAGAAAACAGTGAAAAAAAAGAATAATTTTCTTCTTTTTTAAGTAATTTCTGTAATGACTGTAACTGAGTACTATTTTGGTTCTTGTCTCCTCACATTTACAACACATTTTTGCGTTACAACTCTTTTACTCCATTAACTATAGCATTAGCCAGATAAGGAGACTCAATATAACCTGCAGTCTGGCTGGCATTTCTTCTGCATTATTCTTCATCACTTGTGTCATCTCAGGCATCTCAGGCGAGTGAAGAGCAGTATTTTATGAACTAAATGTTGCAAAAACCTTTCTGAATAAGGAGTATGAATGAAAAAGTCAAGGTACCTTTAACAACAAGTTTACCTTGATGTAAATGCTGGGTTCAAGCAAAACTACTGAATTTGAGTAAGTGAAATTTGATTTTAGGAATGCTTACACTGCTTTAAATTAATGTAGTTCTTTTTTTCCCCTGAAACTGTATTTAATTGCAGTAGAGAATTCAGTACTATCTTACAGCCTAAAATGCCCAATAACTTTCATTTCAAATTTATAGCTAGGCTCATTCCTGAATTCAGAGAGACAGTATCAGTTGCCTTGTCTTAGTAACCAAAACCACCTTCAATTTGTATATTGACTTAGATCCTTTATGATGATGGGAAAATGGTGGTGGAGGTTGATGGACGTGCTACTCAAAAGCTGATCACTAACTTGAAGCCAGAGACATCATATTCATTTGTGCTGACGAACAGAGGGAATAGTGCTGGGGGTCTTCAGCACAGAGTGACAGCAAAGACTGCACCAGATGTGCTTCGCACCAAGCCAGTCTTCATTGGAAAGACCAACTTAGATGGCATGATAACTGTGGAACTTCCAGAAGTACCTTCAAATGAGAATATAAAGTGAGTGAATGAATGACATACCATTGTTTTTATCTCCAGGAAGACGATTATTCTTACTGTTAATAAAATCTAGAGTTGTAGTGGTGGACCAGGGCTTTAGTCTTCATAACGGTACAGAGAGTACAGCACTCTGCAGTAATGTTTCGACTAATACTGGACTAATATTTGACGATACTAAACTGGGAGGTGCTGTTGACTCTCTTGAGGGACAAGAGGCCTTGCAGAGGGATCTAGATAGATTGGAACATTGGGCAATCATCAGTGGTTTGAGATTTAACAAGAACAAATGACAGATTCCATTGTTAAGGTACCTGAATGCATCCAGCAAGAGGTCAACAAATCTGGTGATAGGGCTGGAAGGCATGTCCTATGAAGAGTAGCTAAGGACTTTGGGTTTGTCTAGTTTGGAGAAAAGGAGGCTGAGGGGTGCCCTCATTACTCTTTCTTCCTAAGGAGGGGAGCTGGAGAGGGAGGTGCTGATCTCTTCTCCCTGGTATCATGTGATAGGAGTGGTTCAAAGCTGTGCCAGGGGAGGTATAGACTGGACATTAGGAAGCATTTCTTCACCGAGATGGTGATCAAGCACTGGAACAGGTTTCCTAGAGAGGTGGTTGATGCCCCATGCCTGTCAGTGTCATTTGGACAATGCCCTTAATAATTTAACTTCCGGTCAGCCCTGAAGTGGTCAGGCAGTTGGACTAGATGATCATTGTAGGTCCCTTCCAACTGGAACTATTCTATAAGTTTGTCATGTAGGCAAGTATGTAAGACTGAGTAAAATCTAGATGGAAATATGTGGAGAAGGATTGTCCTTCAGTTTGTAGTTGTAGAGTGCTTTTGTGTTTCATCACTGATTTTGAATAGGAAAGAGGCATTAAGGAAGCCAGTTGTGTTTTGAACAATGTATCCTTTCAAGAAGAATGGATAACCCATCAATGGGTAGTTACCATGCTGCAACCCCTTGAAGTACTTAGACTTAGTCATTCCAGATTTACGTGGAGTTTTAAAGAATTGTTACTGCACTTATATTAATTCAGATGAATTAATTCTGAAGTTTTTTATTAAAAGAAAAATCTTAGGTCCTCTCCACTAGTCCCAGGAAGAAAACAGGAGATTTTGCTGAAAAATTTGCCAGAGAGTTTACTAGAGGTTATTAGATTTTCAGGGAAAAGGCGCTGTGGAGATTTAAACAGCAGAAATAGGACTAAAGAGTTGACAGCACATGGTCAGCAGGGATTAGAAAGGTTAGACAATAAAGATTTGCCAAGAAAACATGAAGCATGGTACAATCAATAAGTGTTATTGCTCTGCTTATAGTTATTGTTGTTCGTCTATAAGATTCCCATGTGTAATGTAAAGGAAATGGGGAGGAAAATGAGCAAGTCATTAAATATTGTTGGGAATTCAACTTGTCCTCTCCCTGGTGGATTTTTACTGACTGTTTTGTAGAAAGCTGCTCCCCTTTTTCATTTTTGACTAAGGATTTTGACGCAGGTGAGGTCAAGAAGGAAATGTCATTTGAGATATTAAAAGGATGAAAAACTGCAAAATGTAGCCATTATCATTAGATTGAGTAAGATGCAGTCAGTAACAAATGCAGCTAAGGAAGACTGAAGATGGAATGAGTCAAAAAAGATTTATGAGGCAGAGCATTCACAGAGAGAAAAAAGTGCAGGGCAGCTGGTCAAACAGTAGCAGAAGCCAGCGGTGGAAAAAGAGATGATGTCCTTCCTTTTATGTAGTGTAAAAAAATGAAAGAGAGTAAGTGACATCAGGAAAGGTACATGGGGTCCAACTACCAATTTTGCAAGTTATGTATCTCCTCCTTCTACATCTGTTTCCTAAGAAGATGTGATCGGGCTTGAGATAGAAAAACAAAACAACAAAAAAAGATTGACTTGACCCTTGGAAGCAGGCATACCAAAGCAACTACATACTTAACAGAAAAAGTTTACCTGATGCTTGCCAGAATAAGTAAGATTATTGCAGCTATAGTCCTTGTATGGGAAGAACAATTTTGTGTAATAGTTATGTTGACATTTTTACAGTTGCTGTTCCTCTATGGGTACATTATATGCTCATGATTGTCTCTATCTTACTATGAAGTACTATACACTGAGAATCTTTCAATAATACTAATTACACAGAAGGTGAAAAAGTTAGTTTGCTCTAATGAATTATAGGTAAATACTAACGGGATTGAGGGTAGTGTTATAAGAGCCTTTGTAATTTATTAAAGATGGTGGAAGTAATTTTCATTATTTTGATGTTTTATGGTGGTACAGGATAGAAACTGTAGCAGAGCTCACCCTATGCTTGGTAAAATGGATCTCTTTTGCTGGCATCATCTCAAATGAGCAATTTCTTCATTTTCCTGTAGTATTTTGGGCTAATCCAAAGCAATTTTTTTACGTAAAGGACAGTTCATGTTTCTCTGAATCTCTTCCATCTTTGCAAAGGCTTAGGTAAAAACAGAGTTTTACGGAAGACTTTGGCATTTGTAATACTCAGTAGTTCAAGCAATATCCAAGCAAAACCTCAATTTCTCACTCTTCCCTCCCAAAAAAAACCCTCAAAACAAACAAGCAAATAATAAAGCAAACGATCAAACACGTTTTTCAAGAGTTGCTGCATTTTCTGGAGTTAGCTAGAAATAACAGAACTTTGTTGTCCTTTACAATTTGCAGGACTGTATATTTATGTGACCAGTTTCATTTTTCTGCTTGCTGTTGGTGTACTTGTGCTTTCAGCTTTAAAATACTCTGTATGTGCTGAAAGTCTTAGTGGATGATCAAAGTTATGAGTGGGAGGCATGCATGAAGAGAGTGTGAAAGTAACATTTACATACTGGATGTTCCTTGATTGAAAAAAAAGTATGAACATTCTGTTAGCTTAAAAAAGAAAAAGAAGAAAAAAAAGGATAAGTAAGAGACTAATGTACAGTTCATCCAGTAGATGTATCTTCGATGTCTGAAAGACATATAGGGGCCACGTCGCAATTACTCTGTCTTTATTCTTAGGCATCTGTTAAAGAAAAGGTATATAGGTTGTAGTTATTGTATACATGGATAAATCAGCATTCACTAGGATTTGTTATTCATGTAACCAAAGAATTTTTTTTAAATACATATCCAGATTTAAAATCTGGTTTCAACCAGCCTTACTAGTTTTGAATAAGAACATCAGTGTAAAAGGTGCTTTATCATATTGCTACTATAAGAATGCATGCTGCAGATTTTATTTAAATACTGGAATACAGGCAGTGAGCAGCAGTTAAAAACTTGTGGCCAATACTCCTTGTTTCCAGCACCTCCTGTTGGAGCTCAGCATTTCCACAGAGAAATTTCTCAAATTTCTTAACACAAAAATTAATAAAGATGTGTATTTACTACAGTAGTTAAAAATCCAAAAGTTTTATTACATTTCTTTTATGGGAAGGAGCTTTAATTATGAAGAGACCATTAAAGTGGACCAATGGCATGCACTTGTATGGAAGAAAGATAGTTTACAGAGTCACTTTAGACTGATACAGTTTTTGATCAATTGTAAGGCAAGTCCTTTTCTCTCAACTGTCTTTCATTAATTACTTTAGGTTTTTCAACTGCATTGCATGAATAAAATGAATAGTCAGTGCTGCAGAAGGTTGAATAGGCTGTAAAAAATGGGAGACTGGAAGAGAAGAAGATGGTCCATGAGACACTAAAATTATCTTCCATAATGAAGAGCCAGAGACAGCTTCTTAATAAGCTCTGTTGTTACTAGAAACAAAGAGGAGTAGCTTCTTTCCCTGTCCTCTGAGATGGAGAGTGCTTGACTTTTTGACAAGTGTATTTATCAAGAAGATGTATATTATATCATCCTGGATGTCCTGCTGTTGTGATTCTACTGCTTCTCTCCTCACACTAATGTGAAATTATGGATCTGCCTGACACGGGTCCAGGCTTTGTGAAACAAAGAGGGAAAGTGCGATATCTCTATTATACTAGAAAGTATAATTTACTAGTCTCCGGGGGCGGAAGGAAGGAAGATGTTTTCAGGAAAATGTTTCTGAGGAAAACTGGTATATGTAATTTGCAAATCCTAGCTGTAAAGAGAGCATACATCAAGCTTTCTTGTCTATGACTGTGAACAGAATCCTAAGTAGATAAAGCTGATGGTGATTGATACTCAAAAGTAAAGAGTGTGTAGGTGGAATGTGCGCTATGTCTTCTTTATTTTCTGTTTATAATAGTATTGGCATCAATAAACACATTATGTTAACCTACTGTTCTGATTATACATGAAAATGGGGGAAGATGGGGTGATAATTGAGATGTAAATATATGGTAATATGTTTCAATTTAGGGGTTTGGGTTTTTTTCACAGTGTGATGGTGGCAGGGCACAAATATGCCATCACTCTTGTATTTCAAATGAAATAATAAACTACAGTCAGACATGTAGGCATTTTAGAACATTGTAATTAAAGTTTCTTATACATATTTATATGTTTACATGAAAAGGCAGGTAATTAGTGCCATTTATTTGTCAAATGTTTTACACTGGATGTAGTTTCAAGAGTGTGAATCTTTACAACCATGTTTGGAAGGCTGCAGTGGTATAATAAAGTGCAAAGGTTTGCTCTCAACATACCGCAGTTCTCCTAAGTTCTTCTGAACAGACACCTACTCCATCAATTTATCTGTTCCTTTTCCTTCAACTTCACTTTTGTCCAACTGTTTCCTTTACAGAGGTTATTACATAGTTATTGTGCCTTTGAAGAGGTCTCGTGGAAAATTTATCAAACCATGGGAGAGTCCAGATGAAATGGAACTAGATGAGGTACTGTATGTTTTTGTTGTTGTCTTCTCCTTTATTAAAGAAACAATCTATCAGTGGTATGTAATTAACACACCAGTTTTAGAAGTTTTGGTTGTCAGGATATTTTGTATTTCTATTTGAATTAGCCTGTGGAGACTGAAACAGAAGTTCAAATTACTTAGAAGACAATAAAGACATTAAGTTGCAATAAAGCACACAAACTGTCTGATCTTTGTTGGCATTAATATTTTATTCTTTTCCTATTGTGAAGTGTAATGCAAAAGTTCAGGAGGTGAAATGAGTTGTCAGCAAAAGCTTAATCACCAATGATATGAACTCTAATAAAGGTCTGGTTCATTAGTGGGGTGTTTACTAAGCTTGTAACAAATGTTAAATTGCAATTTGCACTGCAATTTAACATTTGACCTTCTTGTGCTGTTTCTACCTGATTCTCACATACTGTAATGCTTCTGGTTAGGAAACTTTTACAGTAGCCTCCATTCTACTGACATTTTGTGCTCAGCAATAAATGAATGAAGTGGGAAAGAGCAACATTGTGTCATCATTTGACACTATAAATGACATTAACCCGAAGGGTGGAAGTACTTTCACTTTAGGAATAAGCCCAGTAATACTAGAAATCAATTCATTATGTTTTTGATATAATAATAATTCCAGGAAGTATAGTGCCAGCATTCTATTCCTGTCTTCTGTTTTACTGAAGGACAATATAGCTTAGGCAAACTTGTCTTTGTTCTTTCCATCTGTAAATTTGGAATAATACTAATATTTACCATTGTAAAGCTCTTTTGAGAGCTCCATATGAAGACCCTGTACAAAAGACAGGTGGTGGTGTTATTACTGTTGTTATCTGGCTAGGATTTTAGATCTCATTCAGGTGCTGTGGTAATTTGTACATGTAATATCTCTGCAATTCAAAGACCAAAGATCAAAGTTAGTTTCTTTACTCCTGATATAGTGAACTTTTGATTGGATCCTGTCTATTTTTCCATTTTCTTTTGGTGGATTCAAGAGTTTTATGTTACAGAGATGCTTCACCATATGCTTCCTCCTAATACAATCACCTGGGAAGTAATGATCATCTGTGAGCAATCACAAGGCTTTTTTTCCCCTCTTCCCATTGACAGAATGAATATCAATTTCAATGTTTGCACCAAAATGTAAAGAAAATAAAGATCTTCACCAAACTAACACTGCTGTAGAAAGCTTTCAAAATATAAACAGAGGTCTTTCAGTCTTTAGTCTGTTTTCTGATCAGAAAAGGCAAAGAAGAATACGTACAGCAACAAAAGAATCCTTAATCAGAAGATTAAAAACAGTTGTTCAAAGGAAGGCATGGTTTTTGTTACTGCTGACTGACTGATTGAAGCCTGTGTTTCCTCTTGACCAGTTTTATTTATGTGATCATCTCATTTGACTCAATTGCAGCAATGGCTTGATTTGATCTATTAACTTCTTCCCTTTAAAAGAACTTGGATTCTAAATGCCGTCAGCTCATGATCATAGTCCTAGGTGACATCAAATACAGTTAAACAGTAAAACTCTGACAGCAAGATCCATACAGTAATGGAAAACTGATTTAATACTACCACCCACTTTTAACATCCAAAGACTGCAGTCACATTCAGCAGCATTAACAGATTAAAGGATAGGTGGCAGATGACATTGAACTTTTTGGCAATTAAATTCTATGGGTCCTGCTGATGCCCATAACAAAGGGTCATTTTAATCATCCTGCAAGTTGCAGTGCATTAATCTGTATAACAGATTGATAAAGAGCATTTATTAATTCAGAAATATTTGGGTCAGGATGGGTTGTTTCCCACTTCTACTGATATAATTGAGACCACATTGTAGAATTAATGGTGACAAAAATAAGATATGCATTGACCGGAAAATGAAAATTATTTCTGATAAAGAACTAAAAACCTTAATGCATCTTTTACAATAGCCACCAATACATATAGTAAGTACTGACTAGGGAAAAAATCAAAAGCAGGCAGAGACTGTATTTCACACTAATTCATCCATTTTCTATTATTTAAAATACTGTTTTACTTCCAGCTTTAGAAAATATATGCATATTGTTACTAGGTGTACTATTCCTGACAAACATGTGAAAGCAGTGGCACAATAAAAAATTTGTAAAAAACCTCACAAAAACTAGCCACACTAGTATCCAAGCAAGTAGTTCCTGATGGTCAAATGAAGATACTTGTGCATATCTTTTTTTTAGTGCAATCTCAGATATCTGGCTAGTATCAGAAAGGGTTGGGCAATAGATTTTCCAAAGAAGTATGTTCCAAATACTTTGTTTAGATTGTCAGAAGAAAAGTATTTCCTGAAAACATTACTTTGGAGTGTTAACTCCAGTACATAACTCACTAGTCCAAAAGACTCTCCAGCCTTACTGTATTTACCTAATCTTTCTGGTTCCTTGAACCTCAATTCTGAAAGAAACTAAGAGGGATGCAGAATCTTAAAAGAGCAGACAATGGACTAGATTCTGTGTATCTGAAAATAATAGTTTTTAGAGATACAACACTTCTTTATTAACTTGAAATTTCATTTTATTTTGAATATCATGAGATCTAGTGACTTTAAATTGATATGGCATGCAAATAAATGACATAAATAAAATACTATTATTTGCAGTAAGTATTACATAGTAGGATTACTTTAGATTTGTAAGCAATAAAACCTAAATAAAAGCCTGCATTTTAAGTCTTAAATCAATTCAGTAATTTTATTGAAATCTTGATATAAAGTACAACAGGAGATACATGTGCAGGTAATGATATTTGGCAGCAACCCAATTTATATATGAAACATGAATGAGGCCAGAGGTTCACCTGAGGTCTATTCAGTCATGTGTAATCAGTCTCACAGACAAAATTTTTATCTACACAGAAACACACCTAAGTGTAGCTGGCCTTAAATGATAAATAACCACCTCTGAAAAAGTTGAACACATTTTGTTTGACTCAGGCTAATTAACTTTTAGGATTCATAGCCAAAACTCAGTTTCTGATCACTTCACCCACTGTAACACAGTAGTTCAGCATTGCTATCTGTTAAATATGTGCATTTTATGTTACTAATTCAAATGCAAGAAATAATTAAGATCAAACATTTTTCTTCCCCTTTCAATCTCAGTCTAATTTTGATTTCACATCCCTTGCAGTATTTTGAGATTTTATTATGAGTTATTTAAAATCTAAATTGTAAATATGGTGTAATCTGGAAACACATGATAAAGAATTTATTTGAGGTAGCCACACAAATAACTTTAAATTCCAGTGGAAACTGTACCCGTTAATGAAAATATCAATTATCTTCAGGGATGGTTCAAGCCATGTACCTCTCCTCATACTGCACTACTTAACAGCTCCTGACTTCCAGTTAGTACACATATCACATTGTTATTACCTGAATATCTACCTTTGTGTTTCAGCAGATTTCAGGATAGTCAGTACTCAGCCCTCTGCATAGCTGTTATTATCTGTATAAAGGATGGCCTCATATAGATACCAACTTTTCACAGAGCACTTCCCTCAGCAGATCCTATAAGGGCTGACACAACCTAGAACAAATTTTTATTAGTCTCTGCCTCATGTTCTTCCCTCAGTAACTCTACCTGGGCCATAGGAAGCTACCAGCAGATGTGAGAGTCACCTTCAATAAAGCAGCTAAATAGAAATCTTCTTAATATTACAGTTCTCTACTGTCCTCATTTTTATACCATGCAAATTTACTCTAGCTGCTCATTAAACTGTTTAGGAAGAATGAAAGAGAAGTATGGACTTCTGATTGTAATAGAGTCCTTGAATAATGAATAACGATATCTAGTCTCAAGTTATGGCCAGTTCTTTTTTGCTCAGGGGATCCATTGCAGTGTAGCTTTTGTGTTGGAGCACAGAAACTGGTAGAGTTGAATGTAAAATCTCTGCAACAGACAACAGACTCAGCCTTAGAGCTGGAAAGCAGTTGACTCTGTAGATCTTCAAAGGGGTAACATCCAAATGCCCTCAATGTTAAGGAAGTTTGGATCCAAGTGCTACAGGTTGCTTGCATATGTTATCTGTAGCCTGTGTGTGAAATACATACTTCAAGGAGAAGGGGTGTTAAAGTAATCCTTATTAAAAGCTTCTGTCTAGTAGCAAAGTTAACAGTAGATTGTTTTGCATGCATTAGAATTGTTCATAGAATCACAGAATCATAGAATCATAGAATGCTTTGGGTTGTTAGGGACCTTTAGAGATCATTGCAAAATACAAGATCCCATGTGGGGAAAGCAAGATGTGCTAACTAAGCTGAGGCCTGACACTGAAGAAGAGGCTGAAGCAAGAGAGAGCTTCCCTGACTAAGCATATTCTTTAAAGTCAAAAAATATAGTGAAGACTAGATTTTAATCTCTTTTTTAATTGATCTCTATCTAGGTCTGGAGATTTGTCTCCTTCTCCTCCTAACACAGAAGTTTTTGCTAATCTATTGTATTAGCACTGTTTGTGTGGTGAAAGGCCTAAAACAACTGTGTGACCTTGCGAAAATTTATGATTGAAGTCTGAGACTACAGGACATTGAAGAAGTTTCATAAGTGAAAAATGAGGTGAACCATAAATAGGCCTTAGAAGTCATCACTTATCACCCAGGAAAAGTTCAGGCTCCTTGTAATCAAATCAGATTAATTTTTGTTGAATGCCAGTATATCTAAAGTGATAAAATATATTGAATAAGCATTTGTCTGATTTAATAAGTAATTCATCAGTAGATTATACCAGCTGAGCTTAAGTTTCTTCATGAGGTAGTTTATGTTTTGCACGTTTAAGCCTAGCATCTAATCTTGTAAATGTCCTGATGTAAATTTTAGCTTTGTTCATCAGAAGAAATGTTTCATGAAACAAGGAAAAGTTGCATTTTGCAAATGAGATTGGGCAGTTAAAATCTGAAGCATGGGTTGTGTATGATAGGGTGGTAGATAGTATTTTGTTGTCCAGCAGTAGAAAAATTGTCTCAGGATTCATAGGTCCTGTTACAGATTCCTATGACCAATCTATTGTGTAGTGTGGTACAAACCATGAAGAAAACAACTTTTGGTGCTTTTGAACAAATAACATGGCAATCAATTTCAGGTTTAGGATGGAAGATATGTTTACAAATAACTCCTATAAAATCTTCTGCACTCATTTACTGTTTGTGAATTACATTGGAAAGCACTCTTTTCCCTGAGATGTTCAGGAATTTTAATATTGCCAGAGTGCTTGGTAGTCGTCATGTTAGAGAGAAAAAAAAATAGTTATTCATAGCTACTTAGTATTGAGTTGTTTCTATTTCAGAGTTACCAGAAAAAGTTAAAAATAGTTAATATAAATTGATTTTCAAAAACTGGGATTTTTTTTCAATTTTGTGGGTTTTATGCCTGGTTTTTAAATAATGACGTCATATGAATTACTAAGTTTTGTTGTATCAAAGAGGAGATAAGAAAGTACCCTGGAGGTACTTTCATAGGGAGGGAGAAAATATTGTTATGCATTAGGGAAGTGATTGCCCCTTGAACTCAGCACCACTGAGTCCAGTGTGTTCAGTTTTGGGCCCCTCAATACAAGAAAGACATTTTGGTGCTGGAGCGTGTCCAGAGAACGGCAACGAAGCTGGTGAAGGGTCTGGAGCACAGGTCTTATGAGGAGCGTCTGAGGGAACTGGGGTTGTTTAGTCTGGAGAAGAGGAGGTTGAGGGGAGACCTTATCACTCTCTACAACTGCTTGAAAGGAGGTTGTAGTGAGGTGGGTGTTGGTCTGTTTTCCTAAGTGACAAGTGATAACACAAGACGAAGTGACCTCAAGTTGTGCCAGGGGAGGTTTAGATTGGATATTAGGAAAAATTTCTTCACTGAAAGGGCTGTCAAGCATTGGAACAGGCTGCTCAGAGAGGTGGTTGAGTCCCCATCCCTGGAGGTATTTAAAAGATGTGCAGACTTGGTGTTTAGAGACATGGTTTAGTGGTGGACTTAGCAGTGTTAGGTTAACGGTTGGGCTCCATTATCATAATGGCCTTTCCAACATAAACGCTTCTATGATTCTAGTCTATGACTGACTTCATATGTGTATACACACACATGTATATATATATGATGTGTAATAGGATATGTGTGTGTGTATATGTATGTCCTCAGAGAAGATATATTGCTTTATTAGCTTTTTTTTCCCCCCTAGAGACAACAATATCATACACTGAAAACTGATCTAATTGTTTTATGTTTGTAGTCTGGGCAGTGCAATTGCTACCTAGTATCTTATCTTAATGAGGATGACAAGAAATTGGAAGATTTTGCAAGAACTAATTTAGTAATACTGATATGCCCCATGAAATGTGGATAAATTCTATTTTTGTAGTTCATGGTCATGCATTAAATTTTCTCATTACCTTGTCGATAAGTTACATTAAAATTGTTTATAGTTATCTTTCTGTTCTTGCTTTCTCCCTTTCTCTCCCTCTCTCTCCCCCCCTCCCCCTTCGTTCTAAAGCTCCTTAAGGAGATAGCTAGGAAACGCAGAAGCATTCGTCTTGGGAGGGAAGTTGAATTAAAGCCATATATTGCAGCTCACTTTGAAGTTCTTCCTACGGAGTTCACGTTGGGGGATAAGAAGCATTATGGTGGCTTTGAGAATAAGCAGCTGCAGAGTGGTCAAGAATATGTCTTCTTTGTGTTGGCTGTAATGGAGCACTCAGAATCTGTAAGTTAGTTAATATATTTCAATCCCAAAATTACCTTTCCACAATCATGAAAACATTTTTTCAGTGCTTATTCCACATCCCAAAAGCTATTTTTGTACAATATGTGTCACAGCATCTCTAAAGCGTTTCCTTGCTTAGTTCCAATTTATTCCTTGACCTTTTCCATTTTGCTTGCGTCTTTATGTGTTACTTCTGTGTCTAACTGAAACCTAAGGATCACCTTTTATTAGCTGTGTTGTGATCCTTCACAAATTACATGCTCTGCTGTTTGAGATCATTGACACAGGTTCTGAGGCATGAACTTCACAGTAGTGTCATTCTCAATGTATTTAAAAAAGAGTTCCTCTCTTGTCTTAATACTACCATTGAATAGTGGTGTTCAATACACAGGGTTCTTGGAAAGATACATTGAATCAGAGACATGCACAGCTAGCCTCTTCAGTTACAGTCATTCCCTAACGACTTTACCAGTGAATTGTTAGAAAGTTAGAAAATAATTCAATAATAAGGAAAATTCCTTAGGTAAGCTAAATAATGAGCTGTCGTTCCTCTTTATGTAATTCATCTTGTAGTTATGTCTCTTTATGCCTGAGTTAATCTACTGCATGTAATATAGTAAAAAAAAAAAAAAAAAAAAGACAAGAAATACAACTGTTCAAAGAAGTTGCAATACATATTAACATTTTAACATACAGTGTGTAATATGGTATATTTCTAATTGGTACCTAAACCTGACAGGTACATTTGCTGGCTCAACCACTTGAAACTACTACACCAATAATCTGAATTCTAGTCAAATGCTTCCAGTGCGTAACCTTACAATTGCTCTCTTGATGTCAACAGAATTTACCTACTAAAACACAATGAGGAAGTAGTTTCAATTTGAGTCCTTTTGAATATATAGCTTCATTTGAAAAGAAAATAAGTGCCTTCTGGAAGCTCTGACATAAATCAAAAGTTCCCCTTTCACTTTCTGACAGTGGCAGCATAGACAGAGAATTCTGAAGGTGCTGCATCACAAAGGTTCAATCTGGAGAAAGTAGACAGCTTTTGGCTATAAAGTTAGCGAAAAATCTGTGTGTCAGAAATTACCTGTACTAAAATTGATCTTTTAAATACAAAGTACTGTTTCTTGTTTATCCTTCTATATTAATTAAGGCATTGGTCATTTCATACAAACCTAAGGTTATTACTTTGTTAGAGAGAAATCAGGATGAAAAGTCAGGAATAAATAAACAGGGCTGTAAAAAGGCTGGTGTGGCAAGGTATATACAAGGGCCTACTGCTGAAGATTTCAAAAGTCATTACTAAACTTACAATATGGACAATATCTGGTTTAGCATGCCATCTGAGACATCTATGTGATTAAGTACCATGAGGTTGTCACAGAGAGTAAAGAGTTTGTAAGGGTGAGTGAGCTTCAACTCCCAGTGCTCCAGTGTATTTTCTCTCAATATAGCTGGTTTTCTTCTAGGGCTATAGATCCTACTGGTGTATGAGTTGTAACTTGCGAGGGATGTTTTTCCCAATATTCAAAATACTTTTTACATAAGGTTTCTACTTCAGAGAACACAAAACTTCTCTGTTGATTGGGAGATGGAGAACTTGGTTTACAAGAGGGTGTGGGGAGGTCTGAATTTATTTAACTTAGTAAAATGGAAGCTGAGAGAGCTTATGATTACAGTCTATAAAATATGTTAAGCATGTTATCAAGAGGAAGGAAAAAATTGATAAATTTGGCAAAATAATAAATAACTTTAAATTAGTCATTAATACAGGTTGGTTGTGAATTAAAACCAAAGTTCTATTTATTGGAGAACAGGTAGTAAGTACTCATACTCTTATCCCTCAGTATCTCTCTGTATCCGTTTCCAGGCATTTTTTCTGCCTGCTGCAAAGGAAGAGGCTAAATACAAAGAGTTTCTTGCTGTAGCAATGGGCTTTTTTCTATCTTTTGAGAATATTGAAGCTGGAAAAAAACCTCAGTCAGCTCATGTATTTCAGGAATGGAACATGGAGATGCCCCAGCTGCTAAACAGCAATCACAGACTTCTAAAACATTTGGTTCCAGGTTTAGTAAAAGACCGTAACATAACTGGACATCTTTGGCATGGGTACTAGCTCAGTATCAGCTAGCATAAGTGACCCAGCTTTGCCGGTCCTAATCCTATCTCTAACCTTAAACCCAGACAGTGTCGTAGCCCAGAGCCCAAAACAAGGCCAAATGAAGTGTAAAAAACCATCTCCTGGCTTAGGGCATCTTTCAGAATACAGTGCAAACATGATAAATGAAAACTAATCTCTTCTCCTGATTATCTTTT